GTTCCCCTGCCGTAGTTTCTTAGAACGAGCAAAGCGTACAGCCGAAATTTTTTGGGGACATCGGAGGGGTTAACAGAGGAGCGAGGTAAGAGTAGCAGTGTTACACATTTTAATGCATTGAAAACGCCCGCACCAAAAAGCCTCTACTTTGAGCCCCATCATAAGAATGCCAGGGACTAGTAGGCTACTTTATAGCCACCGAGTAACAATAAATAGAATCGTTACACACACACACACACACACAGATATATATATAAGGGGTAAATAATAATAATAATAATAATAATAATAATAATAATAATAATAATTTGAGTATTTAAATTTGAGCTAAAATAATCTCAATAAAAGATTATTATAGCTCAATTTTATAATAATCGATAACTATTTTGACACTTCTAAGAATCCTGATTTGAAAATGATATTTACTCTATATATATATATATATATAAAGCAATTTAAAATTAAAAAGATATTGGAATAAAAGTAAACAATAAAATAATGGATTAATGCTGTTACTGAAAATTTAAATTTCTTCTAGCTATAAATTTATCCTATAATCTATAGTTTTTATATTTATTTAGCTAGACATCAGGGTGTAGACCATAGGACGCATATGGGGCTCACGCAAACCTAACAGTTATTGGTACTGAATCGGTTGTTGGCTGATTGGCACTTTTTTTCTGTTATAATCATTATGAACTTGAAAACTGTGCTCAAAAGGTTCAAAAATGGAATTCATAACTGCTTATCAACTCACATCAATTGTATGTTTAGAAGAAAATGACTGAAGAGATTAAATTTTCTATAACCATATATGTTTAAATTATTTGAATTTATTTTAACATAAATTGTTTATAGTTTCAACTAATTTTTTATCAGTTACATTTCATCTAAATTTGGGGTGTCAATTGGGATCAACTCATGTGGTTTGGGTCAGACCTCAGGTCTGACTAGAACCTAACCCGAATACTATACAATTCAAAAATCCCAACATGAACCTGACTCGCCTTCAACCCGCCAACCACAACCCAACACGTAAAACCATTTTAGAATAACCGCTGTTGGGCTAAAATTCAATCGACTTCTGAGCAATTTCGAATCAATTTTTGACCAATTCTAGGTTAGCGAGTCGAATTCAAGTCAATTTAGGGTTGGCAGATCAACCCTCACTCGACCCTAAAAATTTAACGGGTTAGGACATTTAAACCGAACCCGACCTGAAAAATTATTTGGGTCAACCTAAACCCGGATTTTTTGAGTCGGGTTTAGGTCGAATTGGCATGTCGGGTCAATTGTGACAACAAAATTTAATCATTCATCTTTTCATATTATAAGTGACATTAATTAAGCTAGATCTTGCTCATGAGGGGAATATTTTCTTAAGATAATAACTACATAAAAAAATTATTTTAGAAAATAAATAGAAAAGAAAAATGATTATAAACGGGCCATTCACATGTCTTTGTTTGGGATAGTTTTCTGTCTGTATTGCGTTTCAAACTGTCATCACAACTTTATTTGGGAAATACTTTCTTCTTATTTTCTACAAATTTTGCGATGAGCAACCGTTTTTTTCAACCTGAACTGTTAAAATGTGGTAGTTGTAAGAAAACTGATGTCTAATATTTTGGAAAACATATATATATATTTATAATTCCCATCATAATTTTCTAAGAAGTTGATTTCTCGACCACAACATTACAACGATCATTTTAACAAACTGCAGACAGCTAAAACATACTACAAATGTCGGGTTGAAAAAACCAACTCCAACCACAAAAAAAAAAAAAAAAATTTAGAAAACAATAAGAAAATAGTTCCCTAAATAAAATTATGATAGCAATATGAAACGAAAGCAGGCATAGCCTTATTCCAAATAAACTAGTTTCCCATAACAAGGAAACCACATAACACACCTAATAAAGATGCATCACTATCAGTTTTCAAATTCTTTCGCCAATAATGACATTAATCACTCAACAGCTATTTTATTGTTTCCTGCCCTCCCTGTTAAATGAAATTTCTCTCTCTTTCTCCAGTAAAAAAAATTGAGAAAGAATATTCGAATTAATATTAACTAAAACTATGATTCATAAATACTAATTCAATGCTACATGAGGATTGTATATAATATACAAGTAATTAATCAAGATTTATTTTATATTCATCTCAACATAAATTTAAAATTTTAACTAAAAATTAATGATATTATTCTTAGTTAATTTATTTCCGTATTTATTTAAAGCTAATAAATTGGATGGAGAACTAAAAATATTTTTCTATATTATGCACAATGAGCATTCTATTAAGATTTAGCGAGTCATATAGTTTATTGTCGATTGCTCACCATTTAAAAAAAAAAAAAAATTGGGGTTGAATATTTTGAATTAAATATAAAATTCAATTTATTTTATTTTCTCCTATAATTCCACATCTTCTTAGCACAAATGTAACCTGTTAAGTCTTCTTATTACGATATGTAATGATGATCATTTTAATCACGTGATTCGTGAATTTCAATATTTAAATGCGAGTTTTAAAAGTGGATGAAAATAAGAGCTAATTTTGTAAATAGCAATATTTCGAGTGTTATGTATGCAATAACTCTTTTTTCTATCCTCAAACATAAATAGTAATAGTTTTTTTTTTTTATTTTTAAATTACACAATTGTTTTTCCTTTTACAGGAATTTCAAATTTAATTTTACAAATTTAGTAAGATATACGAACAGCATTATTTTTGGTAGCTTTATCTTCTAGTACTAAAATTGGTGTTATTTTTAGGCAATGGCACCGTCACAAATTCAAATTCTTTTCAAATTATGGGTGGATGGGTCCTTCTCATCTCTATTTGGCTTAAAACAGAGCATAGGGTGCTCACACAACCGAATATGTATATATTTATTATATAATAATCTCCTCACCAACTTCAACGGCTATTGAAATGGTTATACATTTATACCTAATATATAAATTTTTATATTTCACCTTAGATGACTTAATATTAGTGATCTTCCTAATATAATTTAGAGATTTGAATTGTATAAATAATATATATATATATATAGCAATTTTGTGATGTGTATGTAAATAAATTTTTTTTATATAATAGATACATATTAATGTCATATTCTTTACTAATTATTTGTAGAGCTCTTTTATTTTATTTTTTAATTTATTTTATAATTATAAAAGAGGATTGGTAACATTCACAAGTCTCTTTTACCATTTTAGGAAATGTCATTAACTCATATCGTTTTTTTTTTTGTATGAACGTTTTTATATCATGACATGTGCTATTGAATATGTATTGGGAAAGAAAAATTGCTTCTGTTAATTGGTTGCAATAAATAGCAATGAAAATTTTATAAAATAATTTCATAGTTACTAGTTGACTAAAAATAAATAAATAAATATGAATGTATTCTTAAGGATAAGCTGCACGTGGTGTAAACATGCGTGAAGATGGCATATGAAAAATGTTGTTTTAATGCCTTGGCAAAATTTATTGAAGCTGAGTTCAAATACATTCGATTGTAGACCAGTTTAGTTGATAATGTAATTTCAAATTTGTCACCAAGGCTGCGTAAGAGATAGCGATGCGGTGGAGGTGCGATGCTGTAACACACTTCCAGGTGTTTGGCAAGAATTGTATTATGTCTGTTTTCTAAAACAAGCTATCATGGAAAACTCGACTAAGTATGGTGACTATAGGAAAGATACGGTATGATATTTTGAAAAGTAGAATAAATTTAACACAGCAATCACAAAATTTTGAATATTTGTTTCTTCTGCGTCAACTTCATTATTACTTCTTCAAATAATTTAAGCTGTCCCAAACAGATTCTAAATCGGCACCACTAAACCTCCATTTAAATCAACACATAAAAAATTATTGTGGGGTCATGTAACTTGTGGGTTATATTATTAATTGGACTTGTTGTCTTTACCCAATCCTTGGTGGGCCGCCCCTTTTAAAAATGCCAAGTCCAATCCAAAATTCCCCTCATTCCAAATGCCTCCCATACTCCATTTGTATTACAAGGTGTATTTTGGGGAGGGTTTGAGGGCAAGTGCATATGTATATATAATTTTATTATTTAATATTTTTACAGTAATTAACATTCAATTCAAGCCTCCACATTACGAAAAATTATTACATCAGGACTCCACATGCTGAGCTCTTTGCGAAGTCTAATCTAGAGCTAACATGTGAAAAATTGGGGCCCACTCCATAAAAAATAAAAAAAAAGAATGAAAAAGTACGACCGGCTCGACCATGTCATAAGAATATTCACTTCGCATTATTCTGAATATTTTTCGCGTTATTCATGCATTATTGATATGTTATTGAGTTGATTTTGAGATATTATTGTTCTTTAAACAATCATATCAATAACACATGA